GAAAGAAAGAAAGAAAGAAAGAAAGAAAGAAAGAAAGAAAGAAAACCTGGAGGGCTGGCCAAATAGCTCAGCAGAGTAAAGCACCTGCAAACAGGCGCAGGGGCCGGCGGTTTGATCCCTGGGCCTGCTGTGCTGCCCCGCCCCTGGGGGGCGCGCTGAGACAGCAACTGAGACTGGGTGTGGTGGTGTGTGCCTGTCATCCCAGCTCTTGGGAGGCTATAAACAGACAGATCATTTTGAGTCTGATCTAGCAGTGAGACCCTGACCACCCTGTAGACACTTCCCTAAAATACAAAAAAAAAAAAAAAAAAAAAAGACCTGGGTGTGTAGCTTGGACAGAGGTCCTGGGGTCAGCCGCAGAATTGCATGTCTATGCACAATGCACACACACACACACACACACCTTCTGCCCTTGTATTATATACATATACCCTCCCACTGCATGCATGCATGCACATGCAGTACATAAACTATTACACACATACATGTGTACACATGTACATGCACATCACACATGCATCACATGCCTATACACACCATATATACACGTATCCGACATGCACATATACACAGTGCATGCATGTGTACATGCCACATGTGCATGACGCTTCACATATATCACATGTACACCACCCTGTGTGCATGTATCACACATGTGCATACATGTTACACACATACACATGCATGCATATTTTATATGTATTGCATGCATACACGTCATCCCTACACAAACCACACATGTATGCCACACACTTAACACTATATACATGTACATGTGCACACACGTGTGCATGTGTGAGCAGTAGGTCCAACTTCCCTTGACTCAGGCCTTGAGGGAGCCCTGGGCCTGGCCAGCCTTCTGGTGGGCCGCGCTGTTTGCTGACTGTGGAGGGCACTGAGCTGCTGCCCCCTCACACCAGCCCTCCACTGCCTCCCCAGGGCTCTGGGTGCTAACCCCAAGGCCAAGCAGACAGTGCCCCTCACCGTCACAGTGGCTAGAGGCTACACGGACTGCGCCCGCCACCTGATCCTGCAGAGTGCTGAGCTGGACGCCCGGTGGGCAGCCAGGCTGCCTGCGTGAGGCCTGCGCGCATGCCCAGACTGTGAGGCTGCTTCTGGCCTTGCCCAGGGCTGCTGTGCTACCAGAGGAGGGATCAGCACCGCTGCACCACCCCGGAGCCCCTGGAGTAGGTGCCAGGGGTAGGCAGGGTCGGGTGTGCATGTGTCTCGCCTAAGTGTGCGTGCCCAGTGTGCATGCGTGCGTGTCACCAGTTTGCACAGCTGGGAGGAAGCACTTGCCTTTCACACGCAGCTCTGTGGCTGTCTCAGTCCTGGTATAGGCGTCTTCACAGCACCAGGGAGACTCCCAGTTCTGTGTGCATGAGACACTGGAGCTCCCGAGGTCCCGGGCTCAGCTCAGAAGCTGGAAGCCCTGTTGCTTTGGGGTTTTGTAAAAATTTTTGGACTGGAAATCACTCTGGACCTTGCGGGCCGGGGAGATGGCTCAGAGGAATAAGCACTTCCTTGGCAAGCGCAACGGCCTGAGTTCAATCCCCAGTTCCTCAAAATAAACAAACAAACGAACTCTGGACCTTGCACTTTCCAGGCAGACACTGTGCTGCTGAGCTATGTCCCTGGCCCAGTCCTGTTGCTTTTGAGAAAAACCACAGCCTCCAGTGCCCTGGGAGTCCAGACAGCCTAATGCCTTGTTCTGCGATGGCACCCACATCTGCTGAGCCAGGCCCAGCTTCTCCTCCCTGGCCGATGGCTTCCTGGGCCCCACAGGGCGGTTGGCACTTCCACAAGCCGCAGTCGTGGGCCAGCTGATGATGGCCCGAGCCCCACACAGCCCAAGCTGTGGTCAACGTCTAGGTCAGTGACAGCCTGCAGCCACTTGATGAACGCCTGTTCTGCTGCCCAGACCGTCCTCCTAATGGCCGCTCCCAGCCCTACGGAGGGGCTCATGCTTGGTATTCAGGAACAAGGAAGTCCTGCTGGTGGTCAGAGTTTGCAAGGAGAAAACAGCAGTTTCACAAAAGCCTGGGGTGGCTGAGGCTCAGAAACAGGGCAGAGCGCCTCCGCCCTCGCGTGGGGCCAGATGCCCGGTCGCCAGGCCTGTGCCCACCTATGAACCGAGTCACTGCCCGGCTCAGCTGCTGTATTACTAATGCAGCCCTGCAGCTCAGGGGTGGGGCAGCAGAGGCTGCCCCCAGGCCTGGACAGACAGACAACCTGAGCCGGGCCGGGAGCCTGGGAGGGAGGGGGCTCGGGATGCAGGGTGCGCCCAGCGCTGTGCTGCAGAGGTGCTCTCAAAGGGCTGGGGAGACGGCTCAGTGGAATAAGTGCTTCCCTGGCAAGCGCGAGGGCCTGAGTTCAAGCCCAGTTCCACCAGAAAAACAGAGATGTTCTCAAGTCTGAGACTAGGAAGAGGACAACGGAACTTGTTTTTTAAAAAGGCCATTAATTGGGGCTGGAGAGATGGCTCAGTGGTCTAAAGCACCTACTTAGAACAAGCTTGGCAAAGCATCAAGGGACCGCGGTTCAATCCCCCAGCA